CCCGCAAGGAGGAGTACTCTCCCCTACTCTCTGCTAGTAGATGAGCTTCTCAGCAAACTTGCTGGAAAAAGAATTCAATGTTAGGGATACGCCCATAACATCGTGATAATCGCCAGGGGCAAATTTGAAGCGACACTCTGCGATATCGTCCAATTCGGACTAAAGACAACGCTAGACTGGTGCAGGAAGGTTTGACTCAACTTTAATCCTGCTAAGAGAGTCATCGTTCCCTTCACAAGGAAGTACAAACTACAGAGAATGAGACAAATCTCACTGATAGGAAGACCTATAGAAACTAGCCGAGAGGTTAAATATCTAGGAATCACCTTGGATAGTAAACTGAACTTCGCTTCCCATATCCAAAAGACATTGCAAGTGTTACAGAGCACTCTATACCTGTCGGAACCAGGCCTCAGATAATACGATGGCTATACTTAATGATTGTGAGACCAAGCCTCACTTACGGAGCACTTGCATGGGGTAAACGAGCTAAGCTCACCATCATGCAAAACTTGCAAAAACTTGCCTGCGTATGCATGACAGGGGCAATGATGACCTGTCCTACAACTGCCTTAGAAATTCTGATGGAGCTAACACCACTCCACTGTGTAATTGAAATTCAACGCAAAGATACACTCCTGAGAATAAGCACTGAGGGCACATGTAGTGGTTGCATTCTAAATAACAAGAATGCGACTAATCTGTTAGGTGAGGTGCCCCCAATACCTCACCCTAGGGATGTAATGACAGCCGAACTAATCTTCGAGCAGAACTTCACAGCACACCTAGCCAAAAAGAAAGATTGGACCACATTGTCTGAAGTGCACCCTATGGCTAAACACACCATAGCATGGTACACAGATGGATCCTTGACACAACAAGGCACGGGCCTTGGAGTGGTAGGGCCTCGCATAAAATACCACGAATCCCTTGGCCAATATACCAGCATATTCCAGGCTGAGGTATGTGCCATTGGACGTTGTGCAGAGCTCAACATACAGCGTGGATACAAGGAAAAGGACATGTCGATTCTTTCGGACAGCCGAGCAGCAATTACTGCCTTACATAGTAACAAAATCACCTCGAACCTAGTCCTAGAGGTGAAGAGTAAGCTAAATATATTGGTCAGACGAAACAGGCTGGCCCTCAGATGGATTCCGGGACATAAGGATATATCTGGAAATGAACTTGCCGATAAAATGGCAAAACTAGGAACCGAACAGCCCCTGGTAGGCCCAGAGCCCTACTGTGGCATAGGGAGGCACACTATAAAAGAATACCTTAGGAAAGCGGAAGGCGCCATGAGACAAGAACACTGGAGAAATACCCCAGGTCTAAGGCAAGCCAAAACTCAAATAAATAACTATAACAAGAAGAGGTTGAAGGAACTTATTCAACTGGGGAAAAACTCACTTAGGATCGTTACCGGATTACTAACCGGGCACTGTAGACTGAAAATTCACCTAGGTAAGATGGGAATAACCAGCAGTGGAACTTGCAGATTCTGCGACATAGAGGACGAAACCTCTAAACACATCATCGCAGACTGTCCGGCATTAGCAAGTATAAGATGTAAAATCTTAGGAACCAGAACTCTTACACCTGAGCTCCTTGGAAAAGTCAACCCACTAAAACTCCTCAACTTTATTCGAGGAAGTGGGTTGAAATCTGAGCTGTAGGCTCTGAATGGGGAAACAATAAATCTCACAGGTCACGGTACACTAAACACCCCGATACTAATAATAATAATACTTCTCAAACATAAGTCAGAGGCAGACAGAGCAAAAAATAAACAAAATTTTTACGAAAAATAGAGATATATTATCAAAATCAGACGTTTGGCAGTCGTCTTGCTTTACGTTCAGATTGGTCCTAATCACGCTCAGGTACAAAAGTGCAAATAAAAAATTGCGCGAAAAGATTCGCTTCATCTAAGTCATAGACGAAGGGATGGCAGATGTACTCTATTCTTTTTTTAATTAACAAATCTCCAGAAAAATTGTGGATTCTGTTTAAGGTTAATTTCGGTGTCTGCAGTGAACTGATTGTAAAGAAATTTTTTTATGGACTAAAGCTCTCGCTTATTCTGTCTGTTTCGCTTCCTGTCACTGGGATTTAAAATTATAAGAAAACGATTGTAAAACTTTTTACGCAAAGTATGCTTTTCTAACCCTCTTGTATACTATGGAAAAATATCAGATCAAAAAGTTAAAGAATTAAACATCTATACTGCGACAAAACTAAGGGCCCATTAGCTGCTGAAATATAATTACGCACAGCTATAAGACTAGTTGCTTTAAACGTATAAAACAGAACTTAAGGTAGTACGAGATCAAAAGTAAAACATCGAACGTAAGCATCACATTCAGAAATAGGGAAATCGCAAAGACTTACGGAATAATAGTTTTCAGAGCTAATAAAGACTGGATCTGTTAGATTATTTAATCTGGTAAAACCCGTATTTATTTAGGCTAAGTCCATTAAAGTCATTAACAAAAACGGTATTATTTAGTAGATGCATGTTGATGGTTGTTAAGGAATTGAGGATCCTGCTTCCAAACTAATGATCCTAAATTAAAGACACTTTGATGAATAAGTAAAATATTTTTCATATGCGTTTAGAGAGAGCAAGACAAACGTCGTCTCTCCTTGGCCCGTAAAAATGCTTATTTCTCGTTCACGAGTTATACTCTAAAACCGAAAGTGCAAGAAAATGCAAGTTTACTGACCGCCGAAAACCAGAGAGCTAGTTCTTGCTCTCCCGCCCTGCTTTTCACCGCTCAAACACCAATGCAAAACTCCAACCGAGCCTCTGCCACCTAGTGCAACAACAACAGCAACTACTACGTCAACTACAACGGTCTCTGTCGCCAACAATGCAATAACGACTCCACTCTCTTCTTCTGCAGCGGGTAAAGCAACAACACAACCAAGTGCAAAAATCGGGTTAAACGTCAAAAACAAAGCTACGGTAGAAAAAATTACAATTCCGCAAGCGGGTTCGGTCATGCAGACAGGCATGGATCGCTATATTAATATTTCCAAGCGCAAGCTAACCCCCCCAAACAAAATCTGACGGCAACATGCCCAAAATAAACCGTACCATCAAAGGCCCTGAAAATCTCGGGCCATTAAATGAAAATAGATTTTCCATTCTGGCGGAGCCTGAAACAGAGTATGAAGAATTAGCCCCAAAGAAACTTAAGCCCCCACCTATCTTTATTCGGGAGAAGATCTCCAACGTCCTAGTCAACAAAATAGTTGAGCTTATCGGGAAGGATAACTTTCATGTTATTCCGCTTATGAAAGGAAATATAAGCGAAACCAAACTTCAAACCAAAACCGAAGATGATTTCCGAGCAGTGTCGAAGTACCTAAACGATGCCAAAAAGAATTACTACACGTACCAGCTGAAAAGTTGCAAGGGCTTACAAGTTGTCCTCAGGGGAATAGAACCCGATGTGACCCCCTCTGAAATTATAGTGGCTTTAAAAGAAAACGGGTTTTGCGCCAAAAATGTTATAAACATTATGAACAAAAACAAGAAGCCGCAACCACTTTTCAAGCTCGAGCTGGAGCCAGACAGCAGAACTTTGAAAAAAAAACGCAGTGCACCCGATCTACAAGTTGCAGTACCTTCTACACCGTAGGATCACAGTAGAAGAGCCGCACAAACGGAACGGGCCAGTGCAATGCGCAAACTGCCAGGAATACGGACAAGGAGATGAAAAGTCGCCAGAACATTTACATGAAATCACAAACGACACCCGAAGTTTTCTTCGCAAAAGCAGCCAGGTCATCATTTGGCCCTTCAATTACCACCAACAGCATTTCCTACGCCTGTGCTTTAAGATCAGGCACAGCTCACATAGAGCCGAAAACTGATAACATACAGCAGGCCATGGGACAGCCACATAGTAAAATGGAAACCATGATGATAACTTTGCAACAAAATATGATGGAATTTATGTCCTTCATGAAAACCACCATGCAAACTTTAATGCAAAACCAAAATATCTTGTTACAAATGCTTGCAGCTCAGCAGTCCAGTAAAACATCGAACGTAAGCATCACATTCAGAAATAGGGAAATCGCAAAGACTTATGGAATAATTGTTTTCAGAGCTAATAAAGACTGGATCTGTTAGATTATTTAATCTGGTAAAACCCGTATTTATTTAGGCTAAGTCCATTAAAGTCATTAACAAAAACGGTATTATTTAGTAGATGCATGTTGATGGTTGTTAAGGAATTGAGGATCCTGCTTCCAAACTAATGATCCTAAATTAAAGTCACTTTGATGAATAAGTAAAATATTTTTCATATGCGTTTAATAATAATTATAACCATAACTCTTTCAGCTGGTCCATTAACACCAACCTAGATCTGGTCCAGTCAAGAGTGTTCGATTGAAAGCCGAATTTTTTTCCTGTGAACAGTTCGTGTTACTGCCACAATGAGTGCACCACTCCTAGAACAAACCAGCATCTCTATTTTTACAGTAAGTCAGAACTGCGCTGAGTCGAAGAATTCACGAATTCAAAGTTGAAATTGAGCCAAGGCACAAACAATACAATACACAAGTTTCAGTCGGCTTATATAAGTGTCATTTAAGAGTGGCCAGCTCGAGTTGTCCGAATTTAGCTGAGTTTTAATAACCTGTTTTCGGGAACTCAGAATGGGGCTGAAAATACTAATCTGAACCGGCGTAACACAATTGCGCTGTTATGTGATCAGTGTGACCAAATGCCGTTAGCTTTTGGAAGCAGAGCCGTCACAGCGATCATTTACAAACACATTCTGTATGGAATGGCAGCAGCGCAAACCCAAATCGTAAAGCCTTGGCTTTGATAGAGATCCTGAGGCGATCCAGGGAAACAAGTAAAATTGTGATTCTTAAGATTTTTTGATGGCTTCGCCGAATAGTACCCAATATATTTTTTACTTTCTCTTCTTAAATTATCTTCTTCTGAACGGTGTACTGCTTAAAAATAAACTTACCTTTCACAATCTGCCAGAGCATTTGACTGGACATTGGTTAATTGCTCATTTCTTTTATCACGCTTTTTCATTTCTTCATCAACGAGTCTCATTTCCCTTAAAGCTGTTGCTACCTATAATGATAACATACAGAATTTATAAAGTGAGAAAAATGTATTTACTTGATATGTTAAGTTACAACATATATTAACATGATCATTCATTTTTACAAACTACTTCGGCGCGTGTAGACGTGTTTTCTTAACGCTCCGGAAAAACAATAAGCCACTGAGTCGAAAACGTTCGAAAAAATTTATAAACGCGAGGTTTTGCGATTCGCGATGCTAATTCGCATATCGTAAACTAAAATTTTAATTAATTAATTAATTAATATTACGCTCTATCAATAAATGAGCGCACTCAACGCCAAAAACAACAAGACGAAGCCCGTGAAAAAATTCAGAGAGAGCAAGACAAACGTCGTCTCTCCTTGACCCGTAAAAATGCTTATTTCTCGTTCACGAGTTATACTCTAGAACCGAAAGTGCAAGAAAGTGCAAGTTTACTGACCGCCGAAAACCAGAGAGCTAGTTCTTGCTCTCCCGCCCTGCTTTTCACCGCTCAAACACCAATGCAAAACTCCAACCGAGCCTCTGCCACCTAGTGCAACAACAACAGCAACTACTACGTCAACTACAACGGTCTCTGTCGCCAACAATGCAATAACGACTCCACTCTCTTCTTCTGCAGCGGGTAAAGCAACAACACAACCAAGTGCAAAAATCGGGTTAAACGTCAAAAACAAAGCTACGGTAGAAAAAATTACAATTCCGCAAGCGGGTTCGGCCATGCAGACAGGCATGGATCGCTATATTAATATTTCCAAGCGCAAGCTAACCCCCCCAACAAAATCTGACGGCAACATGCCCAAAATAAACCGTACCATCAAAGGCCCTGAAAATCTCGGGCCATTAAATGAAAATAGATTTTCCATTCTGGCGGAGCCTGAAACAGAGTATGAAGAATTAGCCCCAAAGAAACTTAAGCCCCCACCTATCTTTATTCGGGAGAAGATCTCCAACGTCCTAGTCAACAAAATAGTTGAGCTTATCGGGAAGGATAACTTTCATGTTATTCCGCTTATGAAAGGAAATATAAGCGAAACCAAACTTCAAACCAAAACCGAAGATGATTTCCGAGCAGTGTCGAAGTACCTAAACGATGCCAAAAAGAATTACTACACGTACCAGCTGAAAAGTTGCAAGGGCTTACAAGTTGTCCTCAGGGGAATAGAACCCGATGTGACCCCCTCTGAAATTATAGTGGCTTTAAAAGAAAACGGGTTTTGCGCCAAAAATGTTATAAACATTATGAACAAAAACAAGAAACCGCAACCACTTTTCAAGCTCGAGCTGGAGCCAGACAGCAGAACTTTGAAAAAAAAACGCAGTGCACCCGATCTACAAGTTGCAGTACCTTCTACACCGTAGGATCACAGTAGAAGAGCCGCACAAACGGAACGGGCCAGTGCAATGCACAAACTGCCAGGAATACGGACAAGGAGATGAAAAGTCGCCAGAACATTTACATGAAATCACAAACGACACCCGAAGTTTTCTTCACAAAAGCAGCCAGGTCATCATTTGGCCCTTCAATTACCACCAACAGCATTTCCTACGCCTGTGCTTTAAGATCAGGCACAGCTCACATAGAGCCGAAAACTGATAACATACAGCAGGCCATGGGACAGCCACATAGTAAAATGGAAACCATGATGATAACTTTGCAACAAAATGTGATGGAATTTATGTCCTTCATGAAAACCACCATGCAAACTCTAATGCAAAACCAAAATATCTTGTTACAAATGCTTGCAGCTCAGCAGTCCAAATAAATTATGCCTAGCCTCCGAATAACTCTGTGGAACGCCAACTGTGTTTCACGGCATATACCTGAAGTAACTCAATTTCTGAACGAAAATCACATCGACGTTATGTTGCTGGCAGAAACGCATCTCACCAGCAAATATAACTTTCAAATACGAAGATACACGTTCATCCAGATGGTAAAGCACATGGCGGAGCCGGCATCTTAATAAGAGACCTATCAAACACCATTTTCACAAACGTTTTGCAAAAAATTATCTGCAAGCTACATCAAGCTAAAATTACATTTGGGCACCAGCAACCTTGCCATTGCCGCTGTCTACTGCCCACCCCGCTTTACAGTCTCAGAAGACCAATTCATGGACTTCTACAATTCACTTGGAGAGCGATTCATAGCAGCAGGTGATTACAACGCCAAGCACACACACTGGGGATCCCGCCTTGTTACCCCCAAAGGAAGGCAACTATATAATGCACTCATCAAAACATGCAACAAACTGGACTACGTTTCACCAGGCAGTCCTACATACTGGCCAACAGATCCTAGAAAACTACCTGATTTAATTGATTTTGCTGTGACAAAAAATATTTCTCGCAATCTAATATCTGCAAAATCGCTTATGGATCTATCATCGGACCACTCACCAGTGCTAATAACTCTTCTTCAAGGCCCGGAATTAATCGAACACCCTTGCAGGCTGACGTCGCATCGAACCAACTGGCTGAAGTTCAAAAAGTAGGTAAGTTCCCACATCGAACTAAGTCCACAGCTCAACTTCAAGGAGGACATAGACTGCTATGCCAATGCACTGGAGTCTGTACTCGTCGCAGCAGCCAAAGTCTCTACACCGCAAGGGAGGGATGGGCACACACACCAACACAAAACTAACCTTGAAATCGAACAGCTTGTTTTGGAGAAAAGACGTTTGAGGCGTGCTTGGCAAACCAGCAGATCGCCATCCTCAAAATATAGTCTTAAGGAAGCTGGTCGCAGACTTACCAGGGCTCTAAGGCACGAAGAAGAAAAAGCACAACGCCAGTACATTGAGAAACTTTCAAACTTTCAAGCATCCCCTGTGGAGGGCCCACCCAAATCTAAGTGCGCCGGCCGAAACAGTAATTCCCGTAAGAGACTCTTCAGGCAGCTGGGCCAGAAGCGACAAAGTCAGAGCCTGTACATTTGCTTTACACCTTCGAAATGTTTTTCAGCCAAACCCTGCAAATAATTCATTCACACTACCGTCGCCGTCAATTCGAGGTGGAACTGAGACGGCGCAAATTCTGTTCCAAGCAAACGAAGTTGCAAAAGTCATCAGCGAGCAATTAAAAACAAAAAAGGCCCCAGGCGGTGATCTAATAACTCCTAAGATGCTAATTGAACTCCCAAACTGTGCAGTTGAGGTAATTTGTAAACTATTTAACGGGATTACACGACTTGGCTACTTCCCAAAAAAATGGAAAAAGTCGGTAATCATAATGACCCCAAAGCCAGGAAAAGATCACACAATACCAGCCTCATATAGACCGATAAGTTTACTCTCGTGTCTGTCAAAACTGCTCGAAAAATGCCTTTTGACACGCATAATCCCATATCTGAAAGAGCACAACATTATTCCGGCGCATCAATTTGGCTTTCGAGAAAACCATGGAACAACAGAGCAAGTTAACAGATTAACAACAGAAATACGAACTGCATTCGAGTTTCGGGAATACTGCAGTGCGGTATTCCTTGACGTTGGGCAGGCTTTCGACCGAGTCTGGCTAGATGGCCTTATGCATAAAATCAGAACGTTACTACCGGAAAACACTCACAGGATACTTGAATCGTACCTTTACAACAGAGTCTTCGCCGTGAGATGCAACACTACAATATCCGACGATTACACGATAGAGGTTGGAGGTCCTCAAGGTAGCGCCCTTGGTCCAACTCTATTTCTCCTTTACACCGCAGATATTCCCACGAACGAGCGGCTAACTACTTCTACATTCGCAGACGATACCGCGATCTTAAGTCGGTCCAAATGCCCAATTCAGGCAACAGCACAACCAGCTGATCATCTCGTGGTAGTGGAGAGGTGGTTATCAGACTGGCGTATAAAAATAAATGCGCAAAAGTGTAAACACATAACGTTTACTCTTAACAGACAAACGTGTCCCCCGCTAACTCTGAATAACACGCCACTTCCACAAGCTGACGATGTAACGTACCTTGGCGTCCACCTTGACAGAAGACTTACATGGCGGAGACATATCGAAGCTAAGAAAATTCATCTAAAACTAAAATCCAATAACCTCCATTGGCTCATAAACGCTCGCTCCCCCCTCTGCCTGGACTTCAAGGTTCTGCTCTATAATTCAACGCTTAAGCCAGTCTGGACTTACGGCTCCCAATTGTGGGGAAACGCGAGCAGCAGTAACATCGACATCGGCACAATCAAAAATCCTGAGAAATATCACTGGGGCACCTTGGTATGTTCGGAACGACAACATCCACAGAGATCTTGGCATTCTACCCGTAAAAGATGGAATTTCAAAACCAAATGCGTCCTACCACACCAAGCTAACTTCTCATCCAAACCAGCTCGCCAGGGCCCTAGCCAGGGTTTCCAACCGCACCCGATTGCAACGAAATGACCTTCCAGCTCAGCAATAGTTATTAGAGCCCTTACATCTCGCGTCAGTCAACTTGACTGTCAGATATAGCTTTTTAAATTAAGATTTGATATACTCATTGTTAGTCTCAATTCAGAGAAGATTCAATAAATAAAATGCACATATAAAAAAAAAAAAATTCAAAAAAAATTCATTAAAGGTTTTTTATTAAAATTTTTTAAATCAACATTTAAAACAAAATGTCAAGTCAATCCAGCTTTGTTCATCTGTCCGTCTGTCTGACTTGTTGCCTGCCTGTCTGTTCTTAAGAAAAAAAACAAACCAAACGCCTACGCAGCGGAAGTCTATTAAAAATGTTATCACGCCCACTTGTAGTCGGGAAACTCTGTCACGTCACTCTGATACATAGTGGAAGTCAGTTGTTGGGCGTTGTATGTTTATCGGTTATCTATTGACACACAAAAAAATCTCCAAACCCAACCCAAACGCGATAATATTTTAGCTTTATGTGTGTGCGTCCAAGTTTTGTTCTAGAATGTTTACTAAATTAAATCCTATAAAGAAAGGACAACATAAGCCCAAATTTTAGAAAATATTTATAACAAAGTTAGATTACCACATCTCCCACATCTTTA